GAGCAAGCCATAGTTCTGTCAGAGGTGTTCTTGAAAAAAGCAGTTTCTCTCAGAGCTCTCTCAGCCCCACCTACCTCACAGGGTGTCTGTTGTGGGGAGGGGAAGGGAAAGGAGTTTGTAAGCTGCTCTGAGACTCCGAGTGAAGGGCAGGGTATCGATCTCTTCTTCTTCTGTGCTCTGTTGTTGGTGCTTCAGAGGAACTGGTTGGCCACTGTGTGAGACATGTTCTTCTTATGTTCTTATGGGAGAAGGTAAGAGCAGTTCACCTTAGACAGTCTAGCCTGCTTACTCATACAGTGTGTCAGGAGAGATCCCAAAAGCCTGTGAAGCCCAGCAAACAAAGGCCTGGATTTGAACCTGTAGGACTGGGCTCACCCCCTGCGCCTCCCTTGTTTAACCCCCCGCCTCAGATCTTTCTCTGTTCAAAAGTGGATCATCTACCTTTCCTTTCTCAGAAAGTTCATGAGGGTAAATGTATTTCAAAAATATTGTTACCAAGCACACTAAAAGTACTACAAAATTATTAATTTAAAAAGTGCCCAACACTGGCTGCCAGTTCTGTAGTTGTATTTTTACTAGGTGTCGGCAAGGCCCTCCAAAGATGGTACAGTCTTGCCTCTAGCATCACACAACCCCAGGCATGACCAAGAGAGCTGTGTTTAAGGTGGGCTTCTGGTGATGTTTCTCCATGAGCAAAATACTGTCCAATTTTCTGTCAGACTGAGCATTGGGACAAGTAGCTACAATCTGAAGGGGTTAAAAGATGGCACAGAAGAAGTCTGTCTGTGTCTCTCAGCCAACTGAAGCACAGGGAATGAGGGCAAGCATTGGAGTGCTGAAGTGGAGCCAACTTGTACGTACACCTTTGGCTCTGTGGCAACAACACCGGGGATAGCCTAGAGAGCACAATGTAAGGTGAGAGTGCAGGAACGGATGGACAGGCAGGTGACAGGGGACTCTCTAGGACAGTCAGTGACCTGAGGGAACGTGGAACAGTACAGGGAAGAGGGGGAAGAGAGAACAAGTAGTTCTTATGTGAGGAAAAAAGGTTCAGCCCAGACTGGAAGCAGCCTATCTATGTGGTGGAGACGTGGGTCCTGACATTCAGCAAGGGTCCTGAGTTGACATGCCACCCCCAGCCTAAGGAAAAGGGTAAGAGGATACCAAGGCCCACCCAAGGGGGAATGTTGGTAGCTGTATCTCCTTCAGATCAAGCCTAAAACGAGGATCTGGAGCAAGGGGCTATAGCTGGGGGTGCCGAGGGGCATGAAAAGAGAGGTGGCTTCAGGCCTTTGTTGTTTCCCCACTGAAAGAGTTGAACAGCTGCTGGTAGGAAACTGCCAGTGGGTTCCATCCTCTCAGTGTCAGTACTGAGCAGCCTCGATGTGGCAGACACCCCTGAGATGCCAGATCATCTCATAGAGAGCTGGATAGCCAGCCATACTGCCCTTTGGCCTGTCATCTTGCCTGCTGCAGAGTTCCCATCCCACGCCCAAGGAGGGAGACATCCCCTGAATCAGGACCCGGCTTTCACACATGCCAGCCAGGAATCACAACCCACCCACCCCACTGCTGCCACCTCCAGACACTGCTGCTTTCTCCACTCTGCCACCCCCTCTCCCCTCCCTATGCTGAGAGCTACCTCCTCCGCCTCCACCTTCCAGTGCCAGGATGCAACTCAATTTCTCCCCTGAATAGAACAGCAAGTAGCCATAGCAACCTCACCCTGCCAACCTCCCCACCTCCAGCTTCTCTGTCCCCATGCTATCGCACACACGGCTCCCTCTCCTCCCCACAGTAACCTTCCACAAGCAGCAAGCCCACCAGCGCCAGCCCACCCCAGCTCCAGGTCACCAGCCACCCACCCACTCCCCTCCCCGTTGCTCTTGGCCTCATCCCAGAAATCCCCCCTTCTGCTCATCCCCTTCCCCTCCCACCCCAGTCTCTGATGTCACATTTCTTCCGTTGCCACCCACTCCTTTCGCCTCAAGGCACCTCAGAGGCCAGTCACTGTCAGAAGTCCTGAGATACCCCACCAGGCCTCCCCCCAGGGCTCCCCTTTGCTCTCTCACCCACCCTGCCTCTCAAGACCTTTGAAACTCGAGCACCAGGTAAACCAGCGGCAAGGTGTTCCCCCCCTTCGACAGCAAACACCACAGATTTACACACAACTACAACAATGCAGGAACTAGCTCTTCTGAGACCTCACCACCTAATCAATTCAGAGTTACAGCATGCTTCCCCCCCCCATCCCCCCAGGATTTCAAAGACAGGCCAACCGGCTACCAGCTAGCCAATTCCATTTTAAAATTTCCATGGCATGGTTTCAATGGAAGGCATAAGATGATCCTGCTGGTTCAGACCAGTGGTTTGTAATGTTTCACACAGCAGCCAGCCAGTTACCCTGGAGGACCAAACAAACAAGGGCATAGAGGCCAAGAACATCATGCAAGAGTCTCAACATGGCCCCAGCACATATCCTGCCCGATCTCCATCTCCTTGGAAAGGCATTATAATCCAGGATTCTTTTTAAAAAAAACACCTCAAAACTAGTGCATTTTCCACAACGTTAGCACGTCTATTGAGGTGCAAGATTCCAACTACCACATCCAGGGCTGGAATGTGGGACCAGCCCCAGGGTTCAGGTCAGGGCTGCACGCACCTGCACACACCCACCCCTTTGCCCCTTACTTCCAAAACAGTCAGTCCTCCCTGCCAACCGCCTCCACACCCCCCAGGTTGGCTTGGTGATGGCTGGGGAACGGAATCTTGAGCGTTCCCTAGCAACAGCATCCCAGACCTAATAGGGCCTGAAGCTACCATGAGAGGCTGCTCCTTGAAGGACCAGAGCCTGGGACAAGCTGTCCCCTTCCATGAGTATTAACTTCCATAGTGTATTCGGCATACAAATAACCTGGTCTGAAACCTTGTTGCAGAATTCCACAGAGGATAAGTTCCTCCCAGTTGAAAAGTACTGCTCTAGAACAGGAAGGAGACTCCCTCTACCTGGTTGACCCCATCAAAGAAGCCATGTTAAGATCCAGAGCGAATATGGGGCCCAGGGCAGCAAGGACCGATAGGGCCTTCTGCCTCTGTTCGTCTCAACTGTTTGCTCAGATGCCTCAGCCCCACAGCACAGCATGCCATGGGAAAGGAAGGCCAAGAAGCCAGTGGGGCGGGAAAGAAGGATAACCAGGCATGAGTGAGGAGGAAAACCGAGGAGGCAGCATAAGCGTTGGGGCAAGGGGCCTGGCACACGCTCTGTGCTGTGCACAAGGGAACCTGTGGGGGCTCCAGCTCTGTGTCAAAGCTCACAGCACGCAAGGGCAATCAGATCACAGCCTGGAAATGTCCCTCCGCCGAGCAGACACTTTTGCATGCATGGGAAGAAAGGGGGCGGCAAGGGGCAAAGCCCCACCTACCCGCTTTGCTTAAGGGGGATCACCCCCCCTCCCCGCCCTTCTGGTGCCTGACGAACAATTACAGGTAATGTTAGCAACCGCCCCCAGGCTCTGCTCCCCACCGCCTGTCAGCTTCACGCCTGTCAGGGCTCCTTGGCCCTGGCTCCTTCCCTTGTCCAAGGCACTGCCGGCTGGAAAGCCTTCTTGCTCGCACTCTTGCTGTGCCTGCTCTGCCTACACTCCAGTGAGCAATTCTGCCTGCCCTGATCCAGCACATGCTCACACACACGCTCACATGTCAGATTCTGCATGTAGAACCTCGCTTCTCACACAGACACACACACACCCTGAGCAGGCATCGCTGGCCCTACTCGTGCTTCTGGGACACAGCACAGCCTCTTCCCTTTAAAACCCCAAAAGCCCTCTTCACTCTGCTCGAATGCAATTGCAGCCCTGCAGAGAAGACAATGACGGCTCTCTCTCTCTCTAGCCATTGCTCTCCTCTTTTCCTCCTTCTTCCATGGCTGCCTCATCAGACCAGCACTGCTCTACTGGACAGCAAAATCAAGAGGAGTTGTTCTCTTTGCCCCCCTCCTCCCCACACACACAATCTTGTTACTGCCATCTTGAGAGGGATGTTTGCACATCCGGACAATCCAACTGACAGCAATGGTGGGGGAAGTAGAATCAAGCAGCCCCCCATAGAGTGGCCCTCCTGGCAGCTCCAGCTGACTAGGGATGCAGAAAAGGGACATGGGGGTGGGGGGTGGAAATGAAAAGCCAGGCTTCTAAGCCGAGAGAGAGAGGTTCAGGAACCACACTGCTAAGGAGGAGGACTGAGCTCCGATCTTGGATGGAAAGCACCCAAGACCTGGCTGGCACTGCCAGAGAGGGTCAGGGGTACATCTGCCTGGCCCATCTGCTTGCCTCTTGTGATGCTCCTAGGCTAGTGACAAGAGGCACAAAGCCAGCCCCAAGTGGGAGGTGGCAGCCGGGAACGTGGCAGGCTCAGGCAAGGTGGATGGACCCAGCCTCCATTTTATTGCCTTGAATGCAGGCTCCATCCATTTTCTCAGCTGGCTGGTAGGGATTCATCGGAGGAGTGTCCTCTCTGTTTTAGCAGAGAGACTGGCAAGGCAGGGCTTCCAGGCCCACCAAGAAGATGGAAGACGGTGCCAGAAAAGGGGGCAGAAAACCCGGTGGGATTATATAATAACTCAAGGAACCGGAGGAAGGAGAGGGCTGAGGTACCTTGCCTCTTCAACGGCTGCTGCGGGGAAGCCACGCTTGGCACCTCACTAAGAAGGTACAAAGACAACATCTGGCCCCCCGCAGACATTTCCAACCACTGACTGCCAAGGAAATAGACAATTTAAGCCCAGGTTCCCAGGTAAACCGCTCCAGTGTTACTGGACGGAAAGCATCTGTGACTGGCCCAGGAGTCCCAGCTAGCCAAGGCATCTACCACTTCTGCCGAGCACGGCACCAATCCTGCCTGGAGTGCTTTTCTGCCAGGCACACTCCTTCTTCACATCCCCCCTCCCCTCCCCTCCCCTCCAGGCATGGTGGCCCCACCACATCCTCAGAAGCAGCACCCACCTGTTCATACCAGTCACGGTTCGAGCAGGTGCACTCAGGCCACCAGCCTGGGCTGTTCCCGTTCATCTTGGGGGTGCCAGTCTTGCCTTGGCTCTGTTTAGGGGGGGCAGGAGGGACGTTGTCACGAGACGTGGGGATCAGCTTGCCCTTGTTCCTGGCAGTGGCAGTGGGGGTGGCACCCCCCTGGGAAGGCAGCGTCTGCGAACCGTATCCCCCGTAGCCATACTGCTCGTGTTGCCATTCGCCGTAAGTGGGGGGCTCCATCCGCCGCAGGGCCGCCATGCGTGTCACCTCATAGCATTCCGGGCATCGACAGCAGTGGTGATGCTTGTGCATCTTGGTGCTCAGAGCCTACGCACAGCCCAGAAACAACGCGGGGGGGGGACAACCCCCGTCCCCTGTGCAGGCGACTGTGAGCAAGAGCCCTATTATCTCCAAAGGCAAAACGTTACCGCATCGCGCTGCATCGCCCTGCCCCTCGGTCCCTGCCAAGCTGTAGCCACGGTGGAGGGGGGAAAGAGGAGGGGGCTCACTGAAGAAGCAGCCGCCCCCCTCCTGTGGGCTGCTGCATGGATTTGCCGGCAAGGCAAATCCCTTCCCTGGTGTGCAGGCGTATGCGGGGGAGGCAAAGGAAGCTTCTTGCACCTAGAGGGCCAGAGGAAGAGGATGCTGCTGCTTTTGGTCCCTAGTTGGGAAAGGGAGAAGACGAGAGCATCCCTCTCCAGCCTCCCTGCTCTCCGTGCCTCAGCCAATCAGAGCACAGGGCAGCAGCACTGAGAATGTTAAGAAGGCCCTTAAAGGCACAGAGGCAGCCTGATACCCACCACACAAGCACACACACATATACTCAGAGCACACCCCTGTTCACACAAACACACTAAGGAAGGTGTGCATGGGACAGACACGGAAAACCCTGAGAGTGACCAGTCCCACTCACATTCTCCTTCCATTATCTGGGGTTAATGATGACTATAAGTCCTGCTCCCATACATGAGCCTACAGAGGACATCAGGGATGTATGAAAGGTTGAGCCGGCTCCATTTGCTTACACCTTCTCCAAATGGCAGGGAATGGCTAAGGAATACAGCAGACTCTGAAACAACTCATGATTGCATGCAAATGTTCAGGTGCAACTGTGGCAGTGGGGGGCACAAATTCCCCAGGAGAAAAAAGTCTGTCTAGCCCCCCACACCTTCACTATGCCAAGGCATAGCAATTCAGCTGCGGGTGCTTTTAAAGGCCCAGGAGTGTCAGACAGTGGGGTAAGTTCTAAACAGTACAGTATAGCAAGCTAAAGAGAGGGTGGACTAGTTAGTAGTGGACTAGGCTCTCCGAGATCTGAGTTCAAATCCTCTTTTAGCTGTGACATTTTCTGGGTGACCTTGGGCCAGTTAACCTCCTTCAGCCTTACATGAAATGAGGGAGAGAGAACCCACATACGCTGCCTTGAGGGAGGGTGGGTGGATGTATGGACAGAATTACCCAGTCTGAAGGCTGCCTCAATGGCTATGCACCCTGATGGCCAGCACCACAGCCCCAGGTGAGCATGGATGGGCTTTGATTACTCAGTGGTGACATAAGCATTCTGCACATATTCAGATCCTCCTCTTCTTTATTACAGCTTTACATGTTACAGGGTGGGTGAAGCTATGCCCTAGCATAGGTAAAGGTAAAGGTTCCCTTGCTCGAAAGCCAGCCGAGTCCGACTCTAGGGTGGCGGTGCTCATCTCCGTTTCAAAGCCGAGGAGCCAGCGCTGTCCGAAGACGTTTCCGTGGTCATGTGGCCGGCATGACTAAACACCAAGGCGCACGGAACGTTGTTACCTTCCCACCAAACTGGTACCTATTTATCTACTTGCAATTTCTTGCTTTCAAACTGCTAGGTTGGCAGGATCTGGAACTAGAGATGGGAGCTCACTCCATCATGCGGCAACTCGGGTCTCGAAATGCTGAACTACTGACCTTCCACAGCCTGCAGTTCAGCGTCTTAGCCACTTGAGCCACCGCAGCTCCTAGCATACTGCCACTCTAATTAAGCCTTAGAGACTTAGGACTCCAACTTTAGAATTAGGGAAAGGATGTGGTTACATGTACCAGGGTACCTGCTGTGGTGGTGGTGCTTAAATTTCCATTCCAAATATTTAGATTTTAAAGCTCATGACCTAGATGGCTTTGAAAGGGCAGGAAACAAATTCGCAGAGGTCAGGGAGGTCTATCAACAGCCATTAGTCACAATAGTTCAGCCATATACCAGTCACTGAGGAGCAAACAACATTGGACACCTGGTGTCTTCATTCTTATAGGCTTCCTGGAGGCATTTGACTGGCTACTATTTCAAACAGGATGAAGAGTGAGATGGAGACATTTTGGTCTGATCCAGTAAGGTTATTCTTAGGTTTCTCAAGTCGAACTGCAAACGGAACAAAATCTGAAAGGACATCCAGTGCTGGGAGCAGGAGGGGATGCCCCACCTGATCCATATCCTAAAGCACACTCCTTTCTAAGTCTGTCCTAGAGCCCACAGTTGTCCTAAGGTTTTGTAGTTACCCTCAACCCTCAGCTGCTTACCTGTCTACTACAGATATGGGATGGGGTGGGGTGGGGTGGGGGTAGAAATGGCTCAGTGGTAGAACATCTGTTTTGCATCCAGAAGGTCCCAGGTTCAGTCCCCAGCCTCTCCAGTTAAAAGGATGAGGAAGTAGATGATGTAAAAGGCCTCAACCTGAGGCCCTGAAGAGTCACAACAGTCCGGATGACCTTGACAGACCAATGGTCCATTTCAGGGGAAGGCAGCTTCATGTGTCTGTGTGGGGCCCTGGCTTGCAGGACTATCAAGAGGCTGGTTGGCCACTCTGTGAAAGAGGATGCTAGGCTAGACAGAACTCTGATCTGGTCCAGTCTTCTGTGAGTGTGCAGTGTCAATGGAATCATCACTGGATGAGCCTCCAAAGGTAAAGTTCTGCTTGCTGGCAGTCATGGAGAGGAATTTCTATGCTTAGTACAGACATCCCTGCATACCCACACCCTCTGGTCCATCTTATTCACATGCTGCCATTCACATACAAACATGGACTTTTCCCTCTTTCACACCATCATATCATCATCAACAAGTTCAATGATTAAAATCAGAATATCAAGGTAAGAAGAGACAGGGTTGGAAGATATAGTTCAAGTCTCTGTAACCACAACAACATCCCTTTTAAGAAACAAGTCCTGTACAGTGTCTGGTATTTCAGAAAACCCAAACTCCGGGAATTCAGATGTTTAGGGTCCAGCACAACCAGTTGTTTGTTTTGTCTTTCTAGTCTGGAGAACAATACCAACTTCATGTATTTGTTCTAGATTAATAAGGAAGCCTATCCACACAAACAGATTTTTTTCTTGGGCTACAAAACACTGGGTTCCTGAAGGGATTCTTCAGCACGATATTAAGAGTCCAAGACCTGGTTCACACATTCCACAGAGGCAGGGAGAGCAACTAGCAAAGAGCCTCCTTTCTGCTCTACCAGGCTCCACTGCAATGTCAGAAGTGGGGCTGACAAGTTACATTTCTGTGAAGAGAGGCAAGCACATCCTGTATTTTGTGGATCCCCCAAGACGGAGACCTGCAGGCCCCCACTTTGCACTTTGCAGAGGAAGTATGATTCACTCATGCCTCCACTCTTCCCCACCCCTGTGTAATGTGTGAACCGTACTTTAACTCCTGCTGGGTTATGCTGCCTTAGCCAGAAAAGCCTGTTTATTCTTTGATTGAATCATTTGTGTTCTTTACTTAAGAAAAGCCGGGGGGGGGGTGAAATTATGAACTGCAGCAAGAGCCATGTAAAAGGACACCTCCTTTCTCAGAATACCAGCCAGGCCTTCTTAAAGGCCTTTCTGTCAACTCCTATACGCCAAATGCTCTTAGCTGGACATGGTAACAAAATGGAGAAATCCAAGCAATGCTGTACTAAAGATCCTCTGTGCCAATACAGGGGAATAGAAGGGGAGGGAGAGGGCTCCTCTGATCCCAGGAGATCTCCCCCCCTTCCAGGCACCAACCAGACCCAGACCCACTGAGCTTTGGCAAGGTAGCTGCATCATGTACCAGACCATGCCCTGGGATTATCACTTTTAATGAACCAGCCTGCTCCTCCACAGCACATTAGATGCTGAAAATATTCAGCCCCTTTGGACTTCAGGTCCTCCCCAGCATGGATATTACAACATTACTGAACACTGCAACAAATGGGGATGCTGGGGGAAAAGGGGGCCACAAATGATGGAAGGACTGCAACATGGAGCAAGGGAAAGAAGGGACTGAACGCCACATCAGACCCCCCCCCCCCAAGGGCCCTTTTGTTACCTTCCTTTGCCCCTCCATAGGGCGTGTGCCCACTGTCGGAGGGGTGTGTGTGCGCAAACAGAGAGAAAGGTTCTGTCTTCCTTTTCAGGAAATAAACTTTTATACATTAAGGAGCCAGTCTGCAAATCTGGGAGCCTCCCGACCCTTGTTATAGCTAGTGGGGAAAGCAAAAGTGTCTCCCTGCTGTCACTGCCTTCTTCATATACTATTGCTAGCACATACCAAAAACAGCACAGCCTTTGCCAGCCAATGGCCAACAGATTCATTGTTGTAAGCCCATCCTGGTCCCAGGATACTAAATAGCCGTATCTGGGCATGCTCCAGGAGAAGGTGTGAGCCTTCTTGCTGGCTTTTGCCTTCACCTACCCCTCCTATTGCCAGCTGGATCTTGGCCTCTCAGCTTTGGAAATCCCAGAGCAGCCCCACAGATCTTGAATCCCCCCCTGTCCCCGTCCCCATTCTGCTTCCAGGACTTCAGAATGGCAAGACCCAAGTGGCGATGTCAGCAAGGTTTCTGGGGGAGCAGCCAAGTCAAGAGTGAATTGAAGGGGAGGGGAGGAGAAGGAATGCGAGAATCAGGCTGTTCCTTCACCCACCCCCTGCTCAGTCCCCTTTAAGCAGGGGAAGCAATGCCGCAGATTTCTGAATGGCTGCTACCCCCCTCCTCCCTGCCTACTCACTTCCCAGCCAATCAGCTGACGCACTGGAATTACAGCAGCCAGCCTCGCTGATGGTTTTTAAAGGCACCACAGTCCTAGAAACCATTTCAGGCTTTCTCCTGCTTACAAAAGGAAAAGTTTTTGCTACTGTGATCTAGGGATAGAAGGTTGCCCCTCCCCTTCTGCATTTTCAGAGCTTCCCTCTAGCATGGAACCAAGCCACGATGAAGTGCACGCGCAGGACCAGAAGCTGCCTGCAGCAGAACATGCAATATCCACCTGGCAATGTAAGAACCAATACAGAGTCACAAAAATGCCATGCAGGTACACAA